GTCTCATGTGCCAATCCATGTCAGCCCCCTGAGGCAGAGAGGGGCAAATGGAAAGAGTGTGGGGAAAAGGCAGGAAGATATATGGCCATCAAACCCAGGAAGTCAAAATGAAGAGACCCAGGAACCACTTGCAAATGTTAAATGTAAGGCTGCACGAAAATGCAAGGGGCCGATAGCAGAAGCTCTTCTGCCAAGATCTCCATCCACCCCAGTTGCAGGCAAGGTGCGGCTGGCAGCCCGGTGCCACCTCAAACAGGACATCCCAGTTTTCATCTCAGTCCAACAAGCGTTTCCTGAAGGCACTGACATGCTCAGAGTGTGCGTCTCCTTGCCACACACACTATTTTTATTTTTAAATTTTTTTTGGTACCAGGGATCGAACTCAGGACCTTGTGCTTTCGAGGCAGGTGGTGGAACCACTGAGCTAAATCCTCGGCCCTACGCTATTTTTAAATGGAAACACCATGTGAAGTTCATGTAACGGAGAGGGCAGCTGAATGATCTGCTGGGTAAAATAAAATAAGAGGAAAATAAGATTTTTTTCTAAGACAAGGTCTTGCTATGTAGCCCAGGCTGGCCTTGAACTCCTGGTGAGCCTCCTGCCTCTGCCTCCCGTGTGCTGGGATTCTTTCCCTGTGGCCCCATGACCTCAGCAAGCATCTCCTGTAATCTCAGCACTCTGAGAGGCTGAGTCAGGAGGAACATAAGTTCAAGCCCAGCCTGGGCAACTTGGTAACTTAGGGTTCTTCCCTTGGTCATCCATCATTTTACGGTGACCACAGGGCCACTGCACTGAGCCTTCCCTCATGTGTTACTCACTTTCTTAGGGCTGACTTCTTGGGCCACCCTATCTAGCACTGCTAAGCACTAGCCAGGATCTCATCTGTTATATATTTGAGTGAGTTATTTGATTTAATGACTAGGAAGTGAACCTACACGTTGTGAATGGGGGAGTGGTCTGCTCCCCAAACCACTTGGCTGGGCAGCCAGGGGTGACAGAGGCTCCTGCTGCTCAGGCTAGCTGAGCCGGGCGGCCCCAGGTGGGGAGGGGAAGGAGGTGCGGCTCACCTGGGGAGACAGATACCCGGGAACCAGCCCTCTATCCCGCTATCTTATCCGCCGCCGCCTCTGCCCAGCTACTGTGCATTTCCCTCCTTGGTTAGCAGGGCTGCACTGCACAGCAGGGGTTCCCAGGCCACAGAGCGTCAGATTCCACAGAGGGCTCCTTAAAACACAGCTTGGCTGGGCATGGTGGGATGCCTGTAACCCCAACAGGGAACCTGAGGCCAGAGGATTGGGAGTTTGAGCCCAGCCTGGGAAACATAGAAAGTTAGTGAGACTTCGTCTCAAAATAAAAAGTAAAACAAGGGCTGGACATGTAGCTCAGTGCAAAGACCCTGGGGTCAGCAGAAAAATAAACACACAAATGAATGAACCAAAAACACCACCCTTCGAGGCCTCCCCTAGATCTCTTCAGATTCAGAAACCCCGGGCCTGGGACTGAGAATATGCTTCCAGAACAAGCTTCTGGGGACTCCTCCTGGGGCCCCACTTTAGGAACCATTATGGCATGGGAACTTGCACACAATAAAAGGAATGAGTTCATGGCTGCAGGTGGCTTGGGTTTGCGTTCACGCACCACCTGCAGAGGGCTCCACGGAGTCACCATCACCCGTGGAAAGAAGGCCATGCCCACGGGCACCCAATGGCCTTGCACAGGCCTGCACAAGGGAGTAAGCAGCTCTGCCCGGTGCTGCCCCCTGGCGATGGAGGGCAGTTTTCACCCGTCCCGTGGCTGAGCTTGCCATCTGCAGGGTCTGGGCCTCAGCAGGTTAACGCCTGTAGCCAGGGACAAGAGCTGAATTCTAGCGGCAGCAGGTCTCGTTTTACCCCTTGTATGTCATTTCAGGCACTCATCAGCACGTCAGGCTGAGCTTTTGCAGCTTTTCACCTACTGTTTGGGCAGCAGGTCCCTCCCAGTCCTCCTCGGGTAGCGGTGTGGGCCTGGGTGGGCAGAGGGCCGAGGCCCAGGAGTGACACCTGTGCCATGCTCTGGCCACATCTAACCCCACAGAGCGTGCCTGTCCCACCCAGAGGGGCATTTGCAAAAGGGCAGGACACCTGGGTCACAGCCCACGTGGCCCAGCCAAAGGCCAACTGCAGATGTGTGTGAATTCCCCTGCACTGGGCTCCAGGATGTGCACTGCTACAGAAAAGCCCCTGCGCGGAAGCCAGAGCAGGGACTTTGGGGGCGGGCTGCCTCCGGACGTCTACACCCTGTCTGATCACAACACCGCCCCCTCTTCCTGCCAGCCAGGCTGAGCCCCAGCAGGGCCAGACACCGACATCCCAGCGCAGCAGGCTGGAGCTGAGGTGGCCCCGTCCAGCACAGGCCGACAGCACCAGACACATTGGTCAGCGGCCTGTGTGCTGTGTCTCCCCAGCAACAACACTACATGCCCCTACATTCCCGGGTCACGATCAAACCCTTCTCTGGGTGCTGCTGTGAGGGATTTGCAAGGCCACATCTCCAGCAGCTGCGCTTAATTAAGGGAGATTGTGGCGAGCCTGGTCTAATCTGCTGAAGGGCTAAAGAGCAAACCCACGCTTTCCAGGGAAGGAGGGATTCTGCCACACGAGGGAGGCGCTTCCTTAAAGTAAAGCTCCCACAGCGGGCCGGAGTTCCGAGAATCCCACCCACACCAGGCTGGGCCCCAAGAGCAGCAGATACTAAGCTTAGGCCTGGTCCCCGAAATCTCTTCTGCAGCAGGAACCCACAGCTGCCAAGCCCTGTGCCCCAGGCCAGTCTCGGTGAGGAGGGCGGCTCTGGACGACCAGCTGCTTGGGGCTACTTGGCATCGGTGTTGTCACCAGATGCCGCAGCACGGCTCTGTCACACACAGAGCTGTGGCCCTGAGGAAGCACTTGGACCTTGCTTAAGGCAGACGGGGCAAACGGTGCTCCCCAAGGCATCTCTGCCACCCTGATGTCCACAAGTGACCAGACGGTGAGCGGCGTGGCCTCGGTCCCATGGGGCCCTGCCTACCCACGCGGACCTGAGTGTGGGTGGGAGGATTCTGAGCAGCACGGGAATTCCGGGTGGCCTGGGGCAGGCAAAGCTCAAAGACCCCACTGTTCCCTTGCAAGGAGATGTCTGGTGTCCCTGAACCCTGGCCTAGGGCTCTGGAAACCATGACAGCTGGAAAGGCTGCCCAGCCCTGGACACCGGCTACCAACCGAGGGCATCGGGGGCCGACGTGGGCACTTCTCCCACACGCGGAATGTGGACTGCCTTTGGTGTTTTACTTGGGAGTGGCGCAGGGAGAACAAGGGAACCTTTATTTCTGCTGCACTTGTCTTGCCTTTGGCTCGGTCTCCTTCGGCCAAGTCCAGCTGGGCCTGTCGAAACCCGGCCGCCGGGGCCGAGAGAGGAAGGCCAGGTGCGTGCGCCCTCGCTGCCGGAAGAAAACCCTGAGTTTCGCTCTCCCTTCAGTCCCAGCCTCCGCATGCGGTGCACTTCCGGGAGAAAGCAGTTCACCTCTGGAGAAGAAAAGCCTAAGAACCCCATCTTGCTCTTAGTTTCCTCACCATGGGCATGCTGGGGGTTTGGGGTCACAGGACTCACCCCAAATCAATGCCATGCAAGCCTTTCAGGCTTAATGATGGACAGGATTGGACAGGACTGGCAGTAAATTATGTACTTGAATCATTTACTTTCCAGGACTGGGAAAGCCCCGTCTTGATGAGCCCTATGCTGCACCTGCCTTGAATTAACCTACAGGTCAGGTCAAAGTAAGCTCAGCACAAATTCATCCTGCTGCTGAGAAGAAGGGAGAGGCCCAGCAGTGACCGGCTTCAGAGTCAGGACGGCACTGGCACCTCCCATCTGCCCGTGTGACACGTCCACCCCTGCTGTTGGCATTCCCGCTGAGGGACTGCGGCTTGGCGCTTTCTCTGGCACCCCACCAGCAGTTGACGCATCAGTTTCCAGCACTTATAAAACACCACACTCAAACATCTTAACATCAAACATATACGTAACAGAGAGACCCTGTCACAGCTGCAGAGTGGAAAATGTTCTGGGCGTGGAGTCCAACACCCTCTGGTTTACATCCAAAGTCTGAGTCCATCTCAGTGGTGATTCTGAGTTAGCCCAAACCGCCTGGCTGTTTCCAGTTAGCGCATGAGGATGAGCATTCACCCGGGCTTCTGAGGGCTCTGAGGGCTGCTGGAGGTAAAGGGCTTCATACACCATAGAGCACAAGAAACTGCCAGCTGCCCCTGTGACTTTAGGTAGAAATGTAGGCTATGTAACATTTAAAAGAAATTGTCCTTTCTTTGTCCTGAGATGTTGTGCTTTTTGCCTGGATATATATGGGATAGTACATCATCATGGAATTAACCTTAGTGTTCACAACTACTTTCTATGCTTCTGTGTGCTCAAAACAGTTCTGCATTGGATAACGCATTGCAAGTGACGGCTACATTTTCATGACAAACTCAAGAAAGTAGTTATTGGAGGCAGAGCTTGGTGTGAAGTATTATGAGTTGAGAACAAACAAGAGAAGGGGACAGCGGGGCTGGAAGGCTGGGCTGGAGACAGACAGGGACGGCAGGGACAGAAAGTCAAATGTTGGGACAAATGCTGCACTGCCTCCATCCAAGCAGAAGACAGCGTTATTGTGCAGGCAATAAAACCTCAGTGATGAATCATGCCATATGTGGGCAAGCCCCCCTCCCACAGAGCCCTCACGCCTGGGAAATAGGACTGAACACCCCATCTTCAAAGAGAGTTCTTGGTAAATATACTACTGGTTTTACAACCTTTATCCACAACCCAAACCACTGGCAAACACATTTTCTCAGTGTTGCCCAATGCTCCCGGTCCGTGCCTTCCATTTCTGAACCCATCCTTGGAGAAAGGAGGCAGGAGGGCTAACTTCTGGTACAGGAAAACAGGAAGTCAGGGGTAGTGGGGTGAGGGACCGTGGTCACCTTACCTGGAGCCGTTCACCTGGCCAGGGTGGCATTCCATCTTGATGGTGACCCTGGTCGGGGGCTGAGACAGCCAGTCCTGCTGAGGGACCCTCGGGCTCATCTTGGAAGTCTGGCCATAGTCACCGGAGGAGGACGCAGTCATCTCTGTCTTGGCCAGGTGTGGCGTTCCGTAGGCGCACTCAAATAACGACTGGTCCTCGCTCACCACTGATAGAGCTTCCTGAATGCCCAAAGAAACACATATTCAGGACTCTCCAAAGGGTAGGCACGGCTCACCAAGCTGCTGATTTCAGACTGGAGTCATTTCTAATGGGGACAGTCACACTGGAGGTAGATTGTATGGACTCCATTTCTACTCTTCAGAAGAAAGAGCCCCTTGTTTTCTTCCCAGGAGGCTGAAGTGCTGGAACTGGCCAGCCCAGAAACACTGGATGAGGGATTCATGGCACCCTAGACATGCCAGCAGCGGGCCAGATAATACCCACTTTCATCTGAACTTGAGGAAGTTGAATTTCAAAGGTCTTAGAAGACATCCAATTGCATGTGTCATTATTTGACAAATGCAATCTATAATTCAAGCGGACAGGGTACAGAACAGTCATGAGGATTAACAAAAGACATGTGAGGCTAACACCTAAACATCTGGCAAAACTGCCACACTCCCAGGAGACTCGGAGGAAGAGGTCCTCTGAGGAGAGTGAGGGGAGGTGGGAACACCAGGGAACAGCCAGACAGTGGTCTTGCTTTTTCTGCTCTGTGATTAGCTCACATAGAGTTCCAAGGGGTGCTTCCATGATGGCGAACATCTGGATGATGAATGAACCCCCAAAAAAGCAAAAGCTGTGAATTATCCAGATGCTTCCAGACACTATACTGGGAAGTCTAAAATATCTGAATCAGTGAATAGCTGCTTTTTTTCTCTTTACTTTCTATTAATAGCTTTGCCTTTCTGCATGACTTAATGAAAAGAAACAGAAATCTGTCATGGTTGGATCATTTCTTTCTGTGGTTTTAAGTCAAACAAGTGGTTAGCCTATGGCTATGTTTATATTCTGCAGCCAGATCAGCGCAGGCAAACTCAGTTTGGAAATCTTAGCTACTTGAATGATATGGCAGACACATGGCGTGATTGTGAGGCGATCCAGTTTGGTTTCTGGAACAGACAAGATCCATGTGACAGCTCATTTTTATTTCAGTCCTTTGGCTATCAGCTCATGAGAAGCAAATGCTAGCTGAGCCACAGATTATGTTTTAGAAAACAGAACTTTGGGGCCAGTTTGGTGAGGGAGGGGGCCTCAGAGACCACCTCATCTCCGCGGTCCAGAAAGGCTCACGTCTCACCCTAGACGGCCCGGCTGCAATGAGCAGGGTGACTGAAGGGGCAGACGCTCGCGTCATCATCTTCCCCTCCTGCCTCTGCAGTCCACAGTGCCCTTCTCCAGCGTTCAGGTTTGGGAGATGTGTTTGAATTAGCTGTTATGCTAAGTCACCCCTAAACCACATGCGCTTACAGATGGGGCTTTCAAACGGCAACTGGATTATGGGGCTTTTTCACTGGCTCGCTTTTAGCAGGTGGGATCAAGTTGGAAGAGATGGTCACTGGGGCTTGGCCTACTTCCCTCCCCAGCTCCTCCTTAGACCCTCCCTGCTTCCTGTCCGCCATGCCTTGAGCAGCACTCCTCCGCCAGGCCCCGCCACCATGCCACCCTGCCTTGGAGCCAGCTGACTGTAGACTGAAACCTCTACAGACCATGAGCCAGAATAAACTCTCCTCCTTTCAGCTGTGGGTGTTGGATATTACATCTCAGCGACAAGGAAGTGGCTAAGACATTAACATTCCCTTCTTGTTCTTGACATTGACTTTTACGTAAACAAGGGTGCTCCCCGTGGGTATGTCCCCGTATGCTACAGCCAGTCTGAGCTGGGGACCTCCATTCCCAGAAGTATCAGGATCATGCAGTTACACAGAGCTTTCCTCCCAACTCCATGTTGGGTCACTCTCTCCCCACCCCCAAGGCCCAGGCTTTTCCAGCTTCCCAAGGGCACAAGGCTCTGGCCAGACACACCATCTTGTCTCTGAGTCAGTCAGCAGGCAGAGCCGGTAGGAATGAACCAGTTCTCTGCCCTGAGTGGTGGCCACTGTGTGGGCATAGATAACACCGCACCTTTGACCCTGTTGGGATGCCTAGGAGCGAAGCTCTGCAACACTCTGGGACAGACTGAGGTGGGAGTTTTTAGCAGGAGCACACCAAGGCTGAATCAGGGCAGCCAGAGCACCAGAGTCAGGCAGGGGACAAAGGCGGCCGAAATCCGCAACCCAGTCACATGGCCGAAAGAAGTCATGCGAGGGAGCAGGCAGAGTGGAGGGTAGGCATGGGCACCCCAGATGTTGGAGAATCTGAACCTCACAGCTGTCTCCTGGGCACACTGGGAGAGTGAATGCAGGCCTCTCAACTCACAGTCCTGGGCTGCAAAGGAAAATCATGCTGGGCGTGGTGGTCTGTGCCTGAAATCTCAGCACTCTGGGAGGATGAGGCAGGAGGCTCGAATGTTGGAATGTTCAACACAGCCTGGGCAACTTAGCAATGTACTGTGACCTTGCCTCAAAAGAAAACATCAAAAAGGGCTGGGGAGGTGGCTCAGTATGAAGACCCCGGGTTCAATCCCCAGTGTAACAAAAACTAAAACTAAAATAAGATAAAATCAGCACCACTGACATAGTGAAGCCATTCTAATTAATAGAGGCCAAAATTACAGCTTCCTAAGTAACTTGGCTAAGCAGATCCTCCTGTCCCAGGGCAGTGCTGGCAGACAGCTGCTCCCTCTCCTCCCAGGCCTGCAGCCTCCAGCGAGCCTCAGAGAGGACAACACACTCTGTAATGTTAGCTTTGGTGCTCTGGCAAGAGAACCATGAGTAACTGTGTGATTTAGCTCAGAAACTGCCAAAAACAGGTCACGACAGGCAGAATTTCAAGTTACAAATTTTTTAAAAGAGGGGTTTCAACATCAACAACCAAAAAAGCAAAAACTATGAAACACTAGCACACCGCCAGATAACGTATTTTTACAAACAGAGCCACTGGCCAGATAAATATACCATAAGATTGAGGAAAAAAAAGCCCAAAATATTCTTAGTAAAGTGAAGCTTAAGTGTGTGTTTCTGAGGGAAGAAATCCATTCTCACATCTGGCAAAGCATTATTTCAGCACATGGTTTTCTAAAGAAAGAAATCAAAGTTAATTAAGATTGATTCAGAAGGGGGAAAGGACCTTAATAAACACTAAGATAACAAGGGCATGCATTCCATCTTCATATCTCAAAATTCTTCTCTAAGTTAATATTGTGTAAAAATGAGAACAGGGACAAAATTCAGAACGGCAAAAGCAACCACTTTATGACTTTGGTTTATCAGAGGGGAAAGATTTGAAATGGGTAAATCAAGTCAGCCAGAAACCTAGAATCGAGTACAGCTTAGGAAAAGGAAACAAATAAATAAAATCACACACACTACCCACGCAGCATGTCTTAACAATGGGGGAGGTAACAAAAAAGCGAGGGCGGGTTTTCAGAGACTTAGCCACAAGAACCATCGCTACCGTTAACTGCTAGAAGAAAACCGAGCTGTGGACCTCTAGCCCTTCTTTGTCCCCACACCTGACCCGTGACCGGCAGGTCTCAGCACCCCCCTTTTGAAGTCTGAATGACAAGGCAACATCTCCCACTTCTCCTGCCCGGCAGTCCTAGGATTTCAGAGGGGAGACAGTGGCTCTGTAGCCGGTGGGAGTAAAACCAGACAGAAGTGTGAGTCCAGGCTGGTAACCAGAAATGTGGGGGCTGCGGCTGCGGCCCCGGCTGTGGTTGCCGATGTCCCTGCTTCCCCATCCCCTGGCTCCTTTCCCGGCCACCAGGCCACCTCACCTCCTGTCCACCTGCCTGCCTGCCTCTGTGTGTGGGTGCCCCAGTGAGCCCAGCAAGGTCACTCTTTCAGAACCCTAGACCAGACGAAGAGAGAGAACTTTGCTTTGGTTGCTTTATAACCTAGAACTCAAAAACAGCCAAAACCTGGCAGAAATGCAGCATCATAATTTAATATGCCTGCCTCCGTGTCACTATAAAAGACTGAAATTTGGATTGGTGGGTGCCAGTGTGTGTGGGTTGTGGGGGTGTTTTTCTATAGCTCCAGGCAAGTTGGGGTGGTCTGATGTGGTAAGTAGCTGCTGCCCAAGACCATTTTTTATGTGAAAAACACATAAATTCCAAGCAAATTGCCCTAGTAAAAAGGTACTGCTGGGTTAGTACTCCGGTGTTTATTACTTCATTTGAGTACCAAAAGCACCAGTGACTTCTGAGGACCATTCTTTTGTATTCTGATCGGAGGAGAACAGCTGGGGGCAAGAAAGCATCCATCACTATACTTAGATGAAAAAAATGAAGACAGATAAATTAAAATGTTGAGCACACTTTGTACATGTACTGATGCTTCCAGCAGTTTTCAGGGACCCCGATGCGTCTCTGTAGCAAAGAAATGCCCGGTTCGACTCTTAGATTTCAAGAAAAGGTTAGAAAATCAGGGTCTCAGCCTAAATTTGTTTCCAATTTGCGATTCCCCGAGGTCCATAAAAATAATATATTGTCGGGCCAGGGATTTAGCTCAGTGGTTTTGCTGCCTGCTGCACAAGTGCAAGGACCCGAGTTTGATCCCCTGTACCAAATAATAATAATAATAATAATAATAGTATATTGTCAATAGACAGAATCCATCATAAAGTTCTCTTGAAAATCTGGGAATGATAAAGTGCTCACACTGAGAAAATCTTCAGGAATGACCCGTACTCACTGGCAGCAAGTGAGGGGCAGAAGTGAGGGAGTTACAGAACTCGATTCCTAAATCAGCCTTCAGTTTCCAAGAGTCTTGTATGCCATAATTATTTGATAATTATGAAAAACAAATGCAAATACTAAGTGGAGCAAGAACTTTAAGACCGGGGCCATTCTACAGAATAATCTTACAGAAGCTCTTGCTATCCCAACAGTGTGGAGACCGTCCACATCCAAAGGCCAACATCTCCTTGTGTCAACAGCCCACCTTTCTGTCCAAGTTCTAATCCTATCATGATCCAGTCTAAAAGTCCTCCATAGGTCGCTCTCACTCAGAGCCAGGTAGACACTGGTATATCACTTAACTCCATGCATGGCAATCAGTAAGATGTCGTCTTTCAG